CAAAGTTGTTGTATTTCCTCAGCAACCAGCACGGATCAGCTCCAGGCAAGACGATGCGATATCGTCCTCTTTTGGAAAGCCAAAAAAAGTAGTTTCGCTTTCACAACGAATAACACAGCGCCTTCACGACAACTGAGAATTCAGATTAAATTTCCATTTAATCTATTAAATCAATCTGAGGTAGTGAACAGAACAGGATGTAGTACTTCAAATTTGAATTTAAGGATGTAAATGGAGTGAAATTTAAAGAAATTCCTTGTATAGTTTATAAAAATACATGTAAATTTTCAGTATGATTATGCATTGAAAATGTTATCAAACACAACATATTGGGTATTTCCACAAATTCATGGTATTAATAATAATAGTTTAAAATGCAAATAGAAATTTGTATTGTGCGTGTGTGTGTGTGTGTGTGTGAAAAGATGCCCAGTGCACTCAGGCTTAACCCAGGGATAAGGTTGGTTTGTTGCTGCAAGACATCATGGATTATGAATGATTATGCAGTGCATGACCTCAAGCTATCATGTTTTTCTTGACACTAACTCTCATTTGAGATTAAAAAAATACTCACAGAATTCTCAGCTTCAATGTAATTTTGAGCTGTATGAACGATGTGAATATTTGTAATAACGTGTTGTAATATCGCTACCGTCACGCTAGGTGGCTCCATCGACCCAGTGCATCGTTTTATGTGGCAAACACTATTAGATGGAAGTTTTTATGCTGTTTATTCTTGACAGAGAAGTTCATATGCCTGATTATTCATGTTCTGTCTGATTCATCTGCTGTGCATCTTTCATTCAAAAGGGAATGAAGGTTACAAGGATCAACTAACAGACATTTACACATGAAACTGTCGCAAAAACACTTGATCCAAGCATGAATAATTTACTGTAAGCCTGACTGAGGACTGAGTAATGCGTGAGTATAAATGAAACCGCATAAATTTGATCTGTGTAGTTGATAGAGGCTTCTTCCACAAAATAAATGACTCACTGAAGATGAAGGGAGACGTTGGATGCGCCGGTGTAAACAAGAATGATGATGCTATTGTTTCAGTATTTGCTCTCAGACTATGGCTTCACTTCCCTCAGACACAGGCAGTGATGTCATGCGTGCTAACGGGGAATGGTGTACATGTGCGAGCATGTCTGTGTGAACGGCTGTTGCCAGGATGACAGTGCGTTCTCCGTATGCACGGCAGGGGACGGACTGACTCAAGGCTGTTTCCTATAAACACAGTCAATAACTGAACACAAGTAAACAGACGAGGCATCTAACTGCCTCGTCTTCTATAAGATGATGACTCAAGGTTGACCACACTCGACACACAATAAACAGTTTTATAAAGAGCATATCAGCATTTCTTTGAGTTAAATCTAAAAAATGTCATATTCATTATGACAAAAACGGTGGCTTAAAAGTGGAAATCACATTTTCCTTTCGTCAAAAAAGCGCAAACACTTACGTTAATAGCAGCAATGTCATTCTCATAGGCTTCCCTCAGCTTTCTCATGATCTCCACTTCAGCCCTACAACAAGCCTCAATACTCCCCTTCACTATAATGGTTCTCTCTGGGTTATAAATAGTTAAGTCCTGTAAACTGTGGAAAGAATCAAGAAAGACAAAAAGTAGGTGAGAGTAAAATCACTGGTACCAGTTTAAGAAACGCATTACTTTGGTCAGATCAGAGCAGTGTTCCTATTGAGGGAATTTTTAATTAAGTGGATATGATGTGACCAGAATGGTTTTTTTTTTATTACATCTGAATGGGTCAATATCTTTGCTATCATCATTATTATTATATTGTGTGTATGATGTGATCATATTGGTATTGACTAATATTAGAAAGTGTCTTAAAGGGGTCATATGATGCGATTTCAAGTTGTCCTTTCTCTTTGGAGTGTTTTACAGCATTGGTAAATGAGGCTGTTTTTAGAGGGACAGCTAAGCAATGACGTCAGCAGTCCTGGTTAGGGCTTAATTGGGTGACTCACTTCCTAAGCTATCTGTGTGCCCAGCACACACTTTATTTCTGGGAAATACATAAAACCACCTGTACTCTGATGCTCTGAACCAGATCCCAGCACTTAGCAGCCCATTACAAAATGTCACATGTTCAGGTCATGTTATGATCAATATCTTAACCACAAAACACCGTATTTCCTATCAAAAGAGCTCTCCATGGTGAGCCAAGTAATCATGTATGCCTCCATAGAGCAGACGACTGTGGACCTGGAGTGTGACAAAACATTATAGAATTTCACATAATAGAGAAATAATTATGAGCTTTCCTTGTTTTCACCTGATGAACGCCATAAAATGCAACAGACACTTACGAGGAGATGGTTATTTTGGTCTCTGTCTCCTCTTCAATCTTCTTCAGGTTCCTGCCCTCCTTCCCGATCAGTCTTCCAACCAGACTGTTGTGGGCCAGGATCTTCAGAGGAATATCCTCAGTTCTACAGAAGCAAGACCACAAGTTGGCAACTACAGAGATGTAATTAAAGAAGTCCCGTGACTTCAGAAGATTCAGACTTACACCTTCGTGTCATCAGCCTCTTTCTGCATGATGTCCATGATCATGCGGCACGCGGCAGAGCAGCCCTCAGGAGTGGAGTGGATGCTGATCGGCTTCTCCGCCGCTCCTGTGTTCTCCTTACGATGGATGTCCACCCTGTAAGGACGAGAACATGACTATTCAGCAGAGATCAAAGCTTCATGAAGAGTTCTTACTGTCATCAAGCAGGTTTTTAAAATCATTGTGAATTGACACTTACGGCCAAATTTGATTAATAAATATAACATATTTCCAGGATACTTAGTGTGCAAAATATACTAATGATCTTAGCGATGAATAGTACTCTTTTTTGTGTGTGTTTAAATATATTATGTAAACTATGTATTTAATTGTAGCATTTCTATGTACACTACTGTTTAAAACTTAAGTCAGTAAGTAATTTTGTAAAATAAATTCATTTTAATTTAATTTTTATTCAGCAAGAATGTGTTAAACTAATCAGTGAAAGTAAAGACATTCATAATGTTACAAAATAAATTCTGTTCTTTTGAACTTTCTATTCATCAAAGAATCCTCAAAAAAAATTGTATCATGGTTTCCACAAAAAATATTAAGCAGCACAACTGATTTCAACATTGATGATAATAATAAAAATTTCTTGAGCAGCAAATCAGCATATTAGAATGATTTCTGAAGGATCATGCACTGAAGACTGGAGTAATGATGCTGAAAATTCAGCTTTGCCATCACAGGAATACATTTTATTTTTACATTTTAAAGGGGTCCTATTATGCTCTTTTACAAAGTCTTGATTTTGTTTTGGGGGTGTACTAGAACAGGCTCTCATACTAGGTTGTTCGAAAAACACATTATTTTTCACATATTTTGCATTATTACAACACCTCTCTCCCCAGTCTGGCATGAACGGCTGGAATAGTTCCTGTATCAAATGAAGGCCCGCCTTCTGAAATACGAAATGTGCTGTGATTGGTTAGCTGGGCCAGTGTGTGTTGTGATTGGCAGCACTCGGCGCCTGGTTGGGAAATGTCACGCCCCTTATTATAGCCGCCTGCGAGCTTCAGTGTAAATATTACGTCAAAATCAAATCAATTTGACCGTGATTTAAATCCGGATGATTGTAACCACTCTAAGTTCGTCTGCCTTGGGAAAGCTAGCGTGTCTCCGACATAGTGATAACACTCGTTGCCTCCTCTAGTGCAGCTCAACCAGGTCTCGTCCCATTCGTCGATATTTGTGATATCACAAATCCCGGAAAATATTGTTTCCAAATATCTTACTGACTCCAAACTTTTGAATGGTAGTGTATATCACATTTGTAATTAATGAATTATGTATTATGTAAATAATATAAATAAATGCATATTAATTCCAGTGCACTGAAAGAATTCCTCAGAATCTTATCAACCACAGATGCCTGTTCAATACATTTAAGGATCTCACTCTCTCTCACTCACTTAGACTGTGTCTGTTTGGTGATGTTTTTGATTGTGAGCCCCTCCTTGCCAATGATGGCTCCCACAAACTGCGTGGACACCAGCATGCGCAGGGGGAAGTCTTGCTGTTTCTGTCGGGGCCCCAGAGAGCCTCCAGAGGTCCCGGGCTGCGAGTCCTGTTCCCGTGATGTCCTTTCACTGCGACGATTCCGGGTCGCAGGCAGAGGTGGAGCAGCATCCATATCCAAAATATAAGACACTTTAAAGGAGTAATCCTCAAATGTCTGTCCTGTTAACTTCTCTACAGCTCTGAAGACACAGAGGGGGACAATTATAAGTGGAATATAATGACAGTGTACAGATGGTGAGTTTTGTACTGCTATTTTGTAAATCAGTATGATGGTATATAACCAGTGACAGTTAAAAATGTCAACCGTTAGAGGTTCTGAAGGGCATGTACAGTGCAGAAAACTTTGACAATTATAATGGGAGTGATTTATTGTAACATTTTGGGATTTCATTTTTTCAGGGAAAAAAATAATTCTGATATATATTATTAATGTGACAAAAAATTGTTTTATTTATTTATATAGTTTAGTAATAGTATACAATTTTACTTATACAATTATTATTAATTTTATTAAAGTTATATTAATATTATTTATTTACTATTATAGTATTTAGAATATTTTGACACAGCTTTTTATATATTCAGTTTTCATTTTAATTTTAGTTTAGGTTTGTAATTTTGCTACATGCTTTTATTTTTAGTAGTTTAAATATTTCTATTTAGCTTTAACATTTTTTGAAGTTTAAGTTTTTCATCTAATATGTATATTTTATTTTAAATCAGCTTTATTTCAATTAACGAAATCAACAACAATTTAGTCAACAATAAAAAGGTGCTTTATACTATAATTGTAATAAAAAATATTTATTATTCTTTGAAATGAAATTTAGAAATAATATAATTCCGGGGGGTGAACAAAGGCCTCCTGTAGCGAATCGATGCGTTTTTGTAAGAAAAATATCCATAATCAAAACATAATCACTTTAATGTAGCTTGCGCCAACAGTCCTACATGGAAGTAGCTCCGGGCGGATGACGTATGAGTTCAGCGTTGCGTTAACTTCTTTTAGACTGATGCATGCAACACCCGCTGAGTGGCATTAAACAGCTTGAAAGATCAAAGACAATTTTTTATATAACTCCGACTGGATTCATCTGAAAGAAGAAAGTCATATACACCTAGGATGACTTGAGGGTGAGTAATTTGTGGGCTAATTTTCATTTTTGGGTGAACTAACCCTTTAATGTCTACATATGATTTTGGCTACACTGTCCATCCCTAAAACAAAACCTTAATTCTTAGATTCTTACATTTTAGCCTCTTCTTTTGTTGAATATGTCACATTCACCACTGCTGTTTCTGTATCAGTGTTAACTGCAAAAAGAAAGTAAATGAACACAGAGAGAAAATACGAGTTAGAAACAGGGAGCTCGGTCATATTCCTAAACATGAGACTGCATGCTTCTGTATTAGGTGCATACAGACAAACTAACGCAGTTTTACACTAGTGCTGTGAAGAGCCACTTGTGTGTCCCAGCATCTGCATATAAAAGAAGGATTACTGAGCCATGGCCAGATGTGTACTTCACAGGACAAGCACAAAACAACCCTGACATCCGTAGATCAAAGCCCCATGTATCATGTAAATACACACACAATGAGGGAAAGACCTCCACTTCAAGAGTTCATGCAGCTATACAGGTCCAACAGCTAACTATAGCACCTGTGTACAGATCCGGATCTCGAAAGGTCAAGCTGTATTATATTCTCTGAAGAGTGTGAAATGGGACTAAATTAAGGTTTGCCACATTACAAGAATTCCTCTTGGGTCATTTCAATGATTAAAGACAGAAGCCACTGCAGAGACAATGTGCATGTGTATGGCATTTTTAAGAGGAGAGCCTGCCTTTTTATTGATTAGATGGGAGTTGTGTGCTTAGAGGACCAGACAGTCTGTCTGGACGAAGTTGAGTGGGACAGCTGGGCAGAAATCCAAAGTTTCACACATGAAGAGAACCAAAAAGCCTCGCTGTAAGACAGCTCAAGCGATCAATCTCAGAACCGATGAGTGTCACCAATGTAGGCACATCACGCAATAAGCCACGAGAAAGAACGACGAGAAGTAGCAATGTCCTTACGTCATGCCAACAGGATCATATTTATTTCATTAATTCAGACTGGACTGGGAATTCTGTAGGTTTTGAGACAATGATATGACGGTCATTTTTTTTCTTTGTATGGATCTATTAACTTATTTAAAAATGCAATTCATACATACAATAGCTTGAATACACATTGTCTATAATGAGCATGTTTTTTTTTTATTTCATTTCTCAACTAAAATTCATTATGATATTTTTTAATGGTATAGAGTTAAATGTGCGGGTGATCAATATTGAAGAAAAATTCATTAAAGGGGTCATATGATGCTTTTTTAAAGATCAATATTTTGTGTATTTGGTGTAACAGAATATGTTGACATTATTTTATGTTCAAAAAACACATTATTTTTCAAATACTGTACATTATTGTAAGTCCTCTATGCCGATAAAGAATATCTCTTTGGTTTTGAGATTTTAGTCTTTGCAACTTCAGGGATCTTATCTATGCACAATCAGCTTGTAACACTCCAAAGAGAAAGGAAAACTCGAAATCGCATCATATGACCCCTTTAAAGAAACTTAAAATTCTTGAAATAAAAACCTGATTAGTAATTATTTTATTCATTAAATTAATTCTAAGTACTTTAGCACAATCTTTTATTTCATATATATTTTTAATTAATTCTAAAAAATATTTAAACTGCTTCACTGCTTTGACTGTTATATAAAATATGACAAATTATCCAATAATTTAACTTTTAAGCTATATCTCCCCAAAACTAGTACTTCTAATAAACAAGTAATAAACAAAATCACTAATTCATGATATTTGCAAAAATGTCACTCACATATATTCAAGGTGTTAGAACAAGATTTTTAATTGACTGTTACACCACATCACAGCTTTAAAGTCATTTAAACACTTTTAAAAGTAAACTTGTCAAGTCAAGTTTATTTGTACAGCGCTTTTCACGATACAAATCATTGCAAAGCAACTTTACAGCAAATTAAGTTTCTACAATATTTAGTGGTAGCTTATCAGTGGTGACTGTCAATTAATGTACATATGGCAGAAATGTACGGAAAAATCAATTTAAGACGTAATAAAACAATTCATTTTTTTTATAATACTAAGTAATACTCTTACTCTCGATACTCAGTCACCAGTGTCACGTGATCCTTTAGAAATCATTCTAATATGCTAATTTGCTAATTTTTCATTATTTTCAATGTTGAAAACAGTTATGCTGCAATCATTTTTTCAGGGTATTTTAAGAACAGAAAGTCCAAAAGAACAGCATTTATTGTCTTGGAAATCGAAAAAATGTTTTTCAAAACTATATGAAACCAGCATAAATACAAATAGTATATTTCTGAGAACTCGGCACGTTTGTTTTAAAGTACATTTTTGAAACATTTTTCTTTTCTTTACTGTGGACTCTCATTCTGGATATCATTGACATGTTTGCTAAGATGTGTGTCTTTGTCTGGATTATGAACAGGTGCTTGCGTCTCATATCAGCATACAATGACAGGTCATGTCAAGCACCACTGTAACAACATTAAGTTAGCACAGATAAAATAATGTTTAGTCACTAAATCAGAGACCCTTCCATCGAATCACAAGTGGTCGCAGGAGACGCATGTTAAAACCAGGTATAAACGCAATCCGTCTCAGCTGTGAGTGGAAGAGAGACCACAGGCGCCTACATTGACCTCCCTAATACCACGCCGCACCTCTCTCAAAACACACACACATTACAGCTGGAGCCTCACCACTCTCTCCCACTTCAATCCACACACTGCTCATTTCAGCCAGAGCAGAGTTCATCCCTCTCTCATGCACTGTCTGTCTGTGACTTCCTCTCATTCACACTCAGTCTCAAGCACCCTGCCTATGTGTCTTCCCTCTCACGCTCTCTCTCATTTGGGAAAGACAATCACAGAAACTCAAAACTAAAACACCTCCACTGGCAGCATGTGTTGATGTGATTTAAGTCTGGATAACGTGTGATCTAAACGCACACATTGTCTCTGTACTCCACAGTCTGTTAGTAATTTAGACTCATCCACAAGGGTACATCAGCACAAGTGCAGTATGACAAAGTCCCCAACAGAAAAGCCTCTTTATTGTTTCATAAATGGGTAATTCACTAACAACATGAATATGAATGTGATTCAGCATCCAGCTGATACAAGCTGCAAACATATCAATTACTGAAGAATTTGAACATTTTTGGATGGAATTTAGCATGTCATATCTTAAAGCACTGCTTAAAATGTCAACTACCCAAACAGAAAAAAACTAAACTTAGTACACTATATAATTATATGTAAGTATAGTCAATTTTGACTACGGCAACTACTTTACCTTGTTCCACATTTTCTACAGTACCATACTGTGCTAATAGGCTGTCCAAAACCTGCAATGAGAAGAGCACAATCAGTTACAAACCCAAACAGCAAAACATCTCATAAACTGTTTTTAGATTGAATACCAGAAAATAGAGATCGGAAAGAGCTGGAAAATAAAACGAATAATTCACCCCGAAATGAAAATGCCATCATTATACTCACCATTACGTCAAATATCAAACCCTGTATGCTATTATTTTTCTGTCTAACACAAAGTATACATACACTACCATTCAAAAGTTTGGTGGCAGTAAGACTTTTAATGTTTTGAAAAGATGTCTCTTATATTTTATATCTCTAATGTCTTGTACTTATTTGATTAAAAATGCAGTAAAAGCTGTGATATTGAGAAACATTATTACAATTACAAGTTTTCTATTTAAAAATATTTGAAAATGTAATTTATGTGATGGTAAATTACTCCATTACTCCAGTCTTTCAGAAAAAATCATTCTCAAGAAACATTTCTTACTATTATCAATGTTGAAAACAGTTAATATGCTGCTTGATATTTTTGAGTTCCCATCCACCCTTTCTTAAAAAAAATCGTACAGACCCTAATCTTCTGAACGGTAGTGTAGCTATTCATACACCTGGGGCTGTTAAAGTTCAAAAAGTGTATATTCATCATAATTCAAATCATTGCTTGAGAATTGTTTTATTCAATGATATTCTTCAGTTCTTCCAAAGCTTGTGTCAAGAGCCTGCTCATGCTCAAGATTCAACTGGTGTGCAAATGTCACCAAAACAGCCACTTTTGTGAGTAGCAGCTGCTTATATGGTATGATATTGAATGAACGCATGGATTTTTACACAGTGAACCACTAAACTCGACAGAGAAATGCAGAATACAGAGGCACAGTGTCCAAATACATGCACAAGTGTGTGAGAGCGTGCAAGTGGGCCAGCGCTCACTGTGATGATGTCATCAAGATTTACAATTGGGTCACCAGGGCTGAACTCTCTCCAGACAGATTCTCATGGACTGCAGAGGAAGTGTACTTGTGTGTATGGGCGGAGCATCCCTAACGCACCGTGAGTTAGAGAAAGAAATGCTGCAGCACAACGGAGATAGACAGAGTCTTGACCACACACACACACACACACTGTTCTCTCTGCCCGAGCGGTTACACACTCACCTCCCACTGAAGATGAGGAGGAATGTTCCGGATCTGAATCTTCCGACTCCTGCGGACACAGAAAGAAAGAGAGAGAAACGGTGAGACAAAAAAGAAAGTGGAAAGAGAGAAGCGCAGCAGTATTCAGCATAGGTGCTACAGCTTGAAAACATACAGACTGCCTCTAGATCAGATCCAACAGAAACTAAAGAAACAGAGTGAGACAAAACACTCATAAAACTTCAGTTGTCTACAGTAGTTGACAAGCTATAACTTGAGCTGTCCACTTGTTGTGACATGACAAACAGTAACCATATTCTTGAAATTGTGTGAATATAGTGATGCTTATGACTTTAAAGTTAAAGTCTAAGACCTCACAACTTATAACTAAGACAGAAATGTTATAACTGAATAATTTCAGTGAATCAATTCTAAATTTTGAATCAATGATTCTGAACACACAATAGTTCATTTTAAAATGCTTTAGTAAAAATACACTGCTGTTTAGTGCCGTTTTGTGATACTGGTATACAGTATATAAATAAAAATAATTAAATATTGTTCATTTTTGTTTTAAACGTGAAAAATATGCCTTGTAATATTTTTAATATTAGGTTGAAATGCAGAGCAAATATATACATGTTGAGATATCGAATATTATGGTATAATTTCTAGAGATGCACCGATTGCAATTTTCTTGGCCGATTCCGATTTCCGATTTTTTTTGTTAGTGTGATCTGCCGATACTGATTTTTGTCGATTCCGATTTTCTTTCTAAGAACTATAATTGACAGCATATACAAACAAAAATCTACTTTTCTTCAACGCAGTTTTACTTTCATTTAAAAAAAAACACAAGTAAAAAGTCAGTAATAAAATAAGAACAAATAAAAAAAATTCAGATTTAAAAAATCAGCACAAATAAATGCAATAGAATAAAGAGAGCTATGAAACTAAGTTTTTCAGGTTAAGTAAGTTTTTATTCAGGTAAGAAATACTACAGAAATTAAAGTAATCAAATGTAAAATAACAC